ATCCTCTGATCCCATCATGGGAATAACCATATCACAACAGCTTAAACCACACAGAATTGTGGTCCAGCCAAGTTGACACACAGCGCCAACTATCACAGTATGCATCAAAGAAATTTGGAAGTTGTCAAATATGAGATGGAATGCACAAAGATCAATATCCTGGGCAGTGGTGAGCTGAAATGGACTGGTGTTGGCCATTTTGAATTGAATAATCATATGGTCTACTATGCCAGGAATGACAAATTGAAGAGGAATGCTGTCGCATCCATCGTCAAAAATAACATTTCAAAATCTCTCCTGAAATACAAAACTGTCAGTGATGGGTAATATCCATATGCCTACAAAGAAGATCATTTGATATGACTATTATTCAGATTTATGCACCAACTCATGCCAAAGAGGAAGAAAATGAAGATAAAAGAGACCATTATAGTATATAAAAAGCAAAGCAAATGAAAAAGTAAGGCAACAGTTAATGCCAGGAAAGCCAAAAAGGTGGGAAGGAAACAATCATTGAACACACATAGTTTTGCAGTGAACATTTATTCATTCATAGTTGAAATAATGTCACTGTTGTTCTGTGCTATAGAGACTATTCCAATTCATAGTGACCTTATGAGATAGAATGGAACTGTTCCACAGAGTTTCTAAGGCTGTAAATCTTAATAGAAGCAGACTGGCACATCTTTCTTATGTGGAGCAACTGGTAAGTTCAAACCATTGAACTTTTGGTTACCAGCTGAGTGCTTAACCACTGTACCACCAGGGTTACTACTAAGCATTATATTGTCACTGCTAAGTTCTGTAATGTCATTGCTAAGTACTTTATAGACTTACCTAAAATATGTGTGATTTCACTATCTTAAGTGGGTAGGGGAGGTGAAAGAGGAGACAAATCATCATTAACCAAATTGGAAATCAACTACTAGCCAAATGGTTGGAGGTTTTAACTCACCCAAAGGCACCTCAGAAGACAGATCTGGTGATCTCCTTCCTAAAGGTCACAGCCTTGAAAATCCTCTAGAGCACAGATGTACTCTGACACACATGGAGTTACCATGAGTCAGAACTGACGCCATGGCAAGTAATAACAACATACCTAGTTCTGGTTTGGGATTTACTGTCCCAGTCATGCATACACTCATTCCCCATTCACTCCATTTATTAAACCGTTGCTATGCACCTAACTGCCTGGGCTCCTGGGTTATAAGGAGGAATCAGAACTCGATCCTGCCTTGCCCTCAAGAAGTTCAGTTTGGTGGGCTCCAGGACAGCAATTTTGCTTATGAATAGTCCCTGAAGTGCCATATTGAGGTCACTCTCCTCCAAAGATCTCTAATCAGAACTACTCCACCACCATCACCATGTCTGGAGGCCGAAGGGACCCTTGCATTCCACTCCTCCCCGGCTGCAGAGGAGTTCTTGAGTCCAGAACCCGAGACTTGGAGGGTTTATGAACGTAACCATCCTGGTCAGATCTCCCCTTCCAACTCTGGGGGCCTGGGCCACCCCGCCACGCTCTCCACCCGCCTGGAGGCAGAGCGCAGGAGCCGGAGCACTGCCGCCGGGGCAGTGGGCGGGGTGTCCGCGGGGCCTGGCCAAGAG